GACAACCCAGGTACAGTGTGAAAAAAAAGTTCATGTTGAGAAAGGGGAGGGAGATTGGGGGGGGGGGGGGAGGGGGGAGAAGCCCCACTTTGCACCCATGTGGGGGGGGGGGGGGGGGCGATGCACACACACACACACAAACACACGACAACCCAGGTACAGTGTGAAAAAAAAGTTCATGTTGAGAAAGGGGAGGGAGATTGGGGGGGGGGAGACAGGAAAACAGACACCCAGGTCCCATGGTTTTTCGGAACCCATCGCCCTGCAGAGAATTCCGAAGATTCCCACTCGGGGCTCCCTTCGGGGCCGCGGAGGACCAAATGAACAGTCACAGTTTCGGCGAATCAAAGGACCCACAAAAGGGAGTCGCCCCCCCCCCCCCCCCCAAAAAAGAGGGTGAAAATCTGGGTGCGTCTTATACACTGAATACAACATTTTTGGCCTCCTAAAACCCTGTCCCCCCCCCCCCCCCGCTCTACACAGACACACACACACACCCCATCGCAAAGGGACCCCTCCCTGCGAGAACGCCAGTCGTGCCTGAAATTCATATTACAAGCGGCTTCTGCATTTACGTTTCCCAGGAAGGGAGGGGCGCGTCCTGCACAGAGGCCGGGGGGGGGGAGGAGACCCTGTCCCACAATGGCAATTTGGGGGGGCGGGATGCCTCTGCCTGTAAGGAGACATGGCTGCTGGAAGAGGAAGGGGCTCCTGCTCCATTCCTAGAGAGGAAGTTGGTTTGGCCAAGGGCAAGCTGGGGAATCTTGGGGTCTTAAGCCCCCAGCCCACCCCAAGGGGAAAGACTTGGAGCAGGCCCCTGTTAATGGGGGGGGGGCTTCCCAGGGCATATTTGTGGACCCCTAAATTCTTGCAGCAATCTGGTGGAGGGGGCTTGAACCTGTCACCCATCAGCTGCATTCCACGCTTCCTCCCCCCCCCCCCCAGGGATGGGGAGATATCCTGCCAATGCCCCCACCCCCAATTCAAGGGAGGCTGGAGTTGTGCTTCAAGCAGTGAAGAATCGGGGAAGAGCGATGCTTAGCACCCCATCTTTGCATTCAACTCTCCAGGGAGGAAAATGGGTAGGGGGGGGGGGGAACCACTTCATTAGTGACACAAGGTACACACACATTCACACAAACACATACACACTCTCTCTCGCGCCTTGTGCGAGTCCGGAGGTGGGGGAATACTCCCCAACTGCACGGGAGAAATGGAGCCCTAAAGGGGGGGCTCCTTCCTCCCAACCCCATTCCATCTCCCCCCGCCCCCGCTGGACCCCCCCAAAATACAGGCGAGGGGCTGGAAAACAGGGGGACACAGAGGAGGAGGAGGAGGAGGAGTTGTAATACTGAAATAAAAAAGATCCGAGGAAGGGGCCGCCGGGGAGAGCGCGACTCTCGGTTCTGTCCCTCCTCCGGAGGCGAATCTTGACAAGGTCCTTGTGCATGATCCTTCACGTTTGGGGGTGGGAGGGAGACGCAATGCCCCCCCCAATCCCCATTTACAATCCAAAGTCTCCCAGGGCCCCTCCTGCGGCTGCCTCCCTCTTTCTTGCAGAGGCCCAGCCCAGCGGCCTCCGTCCAGTCTGTCCCGGACCCTGGGCCGGGAGGAGGAGGAAGGGGTGGGGAGACAGGAGAGCCGCCGGAAGGGAAGGTTTGGTTCCGGTCGTCACATGATGCCGTTGGTGAGGTACTGGAAGCCGTCGTAGAGCTTGGTGGTGAGCGAGCGCATGCTGCCGTCCACCAGCTGTTCGATCAGCACCTGCAGCTGCTCCTCCGTCATGTTCATGTGGAAGCGCTCCTTCAGGTTCCGGATGGTGCTGGAGCCGTGGAAGCAAGGAAGCTGGGAGCCTGCCGGGGTGTTGAGGACAGCAAAGAGAGGTCAGGGGGTCTCGGACAACTCGCCGAAGGAGGAGAGTTACACTCGTAGATCAAATAAACGATGGAACGGAATCATTAAAGGATGCGGGAGAAAGGACAGAATGCAATGCAAACAGCAAAAAATTAAAATATTTTTAGATAATTAAACAGAATTGCAAGCCGTCCCAATTATCTCCCCATTCGCCAGCCCTGTTTGAATGAGATGTTTTGGTAACACATCACCCTGCAACGGTTGGGTAGATGGAGCGTGTGAACTTCCCTTCCCAGTTATTGCAGCCTCTGGGCATCTCCAAAGGGCACAAAGATCGCTTCCCACAGCCCCTCCCCCCCATAGTTCTCCACAGACTGGACTCTAGCAAAGAAGAAGTACAGGCTCCCCCCTCTCCCGAGGACCCCAGCCCACCTTGCTGCATGATCTCCACGATCTGCACCACCTTGTCCATGTGTTTGCGAGCGGCGATCAGGCCCTGAAGCATCAACATCTTGAAGTAGTTGAACATGTCTCCCCCAATGCCGCCCATCACCTGCGGGGAAGGAGGGAGGGGAACATTGCAAGGCAGGAAGGGGTCTCCCTTCCCCAAAGAATTCTCAAGGCTTTCAGAGAAAGGCTCGCCTCTGTTACAGGTAGCTCTCAGCTCACTTCAACAGGACCCAAAATTTCTGTTCTTAACTGAGACATTTAAGTGAATTTCCCTCATTTTACAACCTTTCTTGCCACAGCTGTTAAGTGAATCACTACATCAGTTAAGTGAGGAAGGCGGTTATTAAGCGAATCAGGCTTTCCCGATGATTTGAGAAGGCCACAAGTGTCGTAAGTGTGACAAGTGGTCATAACTCAATTTTTTCAGTGCCGTTGCACGTTCAGTCACTAAACGGACTATTGCAAGTCAAGGACGATCCGAACAGGTAGTCCTCACTTTACGGATGTAACGGAGCCTACCCCTTACGGTCGTAGAGCAGGACATCATGTGCCCGCCAGTAATTCCACGGAATTGCCTCCCCAGAGGGTTTCCCGGCCCTTCTCTGAGCAGAGCAAACTTACATCCACAAACTCGGCGGTCAGTTTGAAGGCCGAGGTTTCGAAACCCAGATTACGGGGGGAGCTGGAGAGGATGAAGCCGAAGTCGATGTGGATGATGTGGCCGTGCGCGTCCAGCAGGATGTTGCCGTTGTGCCTTGGGGGAGAGGGGGGAATGGTCAGGCATTTGGGGGTTTTAGCAAAAGAAGTCCCAACTCTCCCCGCGTGCCAGTGTTCTAATTCCTTTGAATTAAACGTATCTCGGGCAGGAGATTTTCAAGGGCCCTCCAGCCTCACCTGTCCTTCACCTGCAGCAGGTAGCAGACCAGGCAGTAGCCGGCGCAGCTCTGGACGAAGTTGCGCTGGGCGGTGAGGAAGCCCTCGGAGGTGAACTGGCCGTGCTCCTGCAGGAAGAAGTCCAGCAGGGAGAGCTGGGACTGCTTCTTCACCTGGTGGATGGAGACGGCGTTGACCACCGGCTCGATCATGCCGCTGTCGGCGGAGATGACCAGGATTTTGTAAGGCTTGATCCACAGCGGGACTCTCTCCTGCTCCCAGATGGCCTGCAAGGGAAGACCGGAGGGAGGGCTGGACGGACCCGGAGGCTGCGGTCAAGCACCAAGGGGGACGGGATTTCCTCCCCCGCCTAGTCTTCATTCCAAAAGCAGCGGGAGGAGATTCGAAGCCCCCTGACCCATCACATCTGGGGTGGAAGCAAGACCCCCCAGATATATCTCATCTTGGCTTGCTTGCTTCCTTCTTCCCTCTTTCCTTTCTTTTTCCCTCCCTCCATCCCTCCCTCCCTTCCCCTCTTTCATTCCCTCCCTCCCTCCCTTCCCCTCTTTCACTCCCTCCCTCCCTTCCTTACCTGCAGCTGCTTGAGCACTTGGAAGGCTAGCAGCTCCTGACGGAGGTCGTCCCCGCACTTGACAATCATGGACAGGAGCCGCCAGTTGGGCAGGTGGCCGTAAGGGGAGCCCTCTCGGATCCGCCTGGGGAGAGCAGGAAAAGGCTGAGCCCCCACTGGTCTCCACTTGGGCGAGTAGTGGCCCTCCTCCAGGGTTAAGGTTAGGGTTCCGCCCCCCCTGTCCGACCAGCCCAGGAGGCCAACAGACACGGCAGCTGCCTTCACTAGCAGAGGAAGGAGGGCGTGGCCAGCCTCTCCTTTTTCTTCTGCCGACTCCTCTTTTTAATCCTGGAAAGTCTTGCTTAAAAGCAGCATTTTTCAACCTTGGCAACTTGAAGATGGGTGGACTTCAACCCCTAGAAATCTGCACTGCTGGGGGGACTCTGGGAGTTGAAGCCCACCCACCTTAAGGAAGGTTTAAGGAACCCAGGAAGGGCTTCGTGGCTCAGAGGCCACAGAGAGGGCCGCAGCTGGCCATGCCCGCACCGCCCTCACCTCACTTTCTCCTGCCAGGGCTCCTTCAGGGCGACGGCCGAGGGGTCTTCGGGGTCCCTCTTGAAGGAGGTGGGCGTGTGGGCCAGCTGCTCAGAGAGACGCCGCCTGTGGAAGGGAGCACAGGTCAGCTCTGCTCCTGCCAGGGAGGAGGGCTGAATGGCCGGCTTTCTCAGCTTTTGGGCTGGCCCTGGAGAACTTCCCCGAGGATGGGCTCCAGACAGCACGAGTCCAGACACTCGGACAAGTAAACCTCTGGTCCCAGTGACCGATCCAGGTTGGATCTTGTTTTATCCGTCTTTTTCCCCCTAGCCCTGGGATCCAAGACAGGATCATCCCAGGGGTGATCTCCCTCTCTTATTTCAACCAATGGACTCCGTCAGCCTCATTCCTGCCCGCAATAGGCCACCCGACTAGGGCGGCTGGATCCTGTTCTCTTCACCTGATGTCTCCTGCAGCAATGAAAACCGGTTCTTTGCTCTCCTGGCTGGTGATGCTGTCCACCGAGAATTGCGAGATGTTGTCGCAGCTACTGGTGTGTAACTCGGGCAGCTGGAGGGCAGAGGAGGCAGGGCCTGAGTGCCTGAGGGGGACGGTCCGGGATAGGAGCCAAGTGCCGGCCCTCCGACCGACTCTCCTCCTTCGAGCCGCCTCTCCGTCCTGGCCCCCCCCTCCCTCCATCCGTGGCTCCTCCGCGCCCCGGCCACTCACCTCCACCTGCAGCTCCCCGATGTCGTCCACAGACCAGGCCTCGTCGTCGTTGTCGTAGTTGGGCACGGTGGTGAAGCTGCTGGCGCGCTGCTCGTAGGTGATGCCGCACTCGGGCAGGTTCTCCACCGAGCGGGTGCTGCGGATCCGGTTCTCGGGGATCCGGGCTGGGACGTTCGTGGTGTCAAAGTTTTCGCACTCAAGTACTTCCACGTAGATCAAGTAGGGAGCCTGCGTGCGGGGAAGCCAGATTCATTTAACAACTGCATGATCCACTTAACGGCTGCAGTGGTTTGTTTACGGTGGCAAACTCGGCTCCCGAATTGGGCCAATTTAACAACCGCCCCTCTGAGCCAGAAAAACTCCCCCCGTGATCGTAAGTCAAGTCCTGTGAAGTCCACGGCGCCTCTGAGGACACACATACCCCCCGGCCACTGTCCCCTTCCCCCCTCGGCCCCGTCTCACCTTGTCCTTGGAGTTCAGGACCACCGCCTGGGTGTGGGGCACTCGTACCACGTGGTGGTCGAAGCCGGCGGTGGGCAGCCAGACCCGGGCGGGCAGCTTGTGGTTGAGCAGGGAGAGCTCGGAGATGAGCCTCTGCGTCTTCTGCTCCTTGGTGGGCAGAGTGGTCAGCCGCTTCCCAATGGCCATCAGCGACTTGATGAATTCCCGCTCGGGGGCCAGGCGGACGGGCTGTGTGGGGGGGTTGGAGGGGGGGGGAGAAAAGAGAGGAGGTGAAGCCCAACCCCTGCGGAGATATCCCAGGGCTGTCAAGACCCTTTTTAGCGGGGGGGGGGGGTGTTCCTTATTTTGCAGAGGGAGGAGGGGGGATGCTCTGGCGATCCCCTCCCTCGAATCGTTCCGGATGCGCTGTGAGGGGGCCGACCAGCTCTGGCTGTGAGGAGAAGCACCCCCTTCCACCTTTGCAATGACCTCTGAACTGATCCCCCTTCAAGGGGGGGGGGGCTTGTAGAGCAACTGTCTGCAGGAGGAGGAAGAACGGGAGGGGCATCGGACGTCCCCTTCACCCTGGCTGACCCTTGCCCTCCGGACGTCCTTGGCTCTCAACGCGCCTCTGCCGGATGGGAAGAGGGAGGCTCCAGCCCACCAGCCCTGCACCCCGAGGGGAGGATTCGCACCCTCCACTCGTGCCCTTTCCCGGCAAGCCCCTCCGTTTTCCCTCCCACCAAGACCTGGGGCGAAAACCGCCCCTTATCAGCCTCCCTCCTCGAACAAGCGAACCACTGAAGCCACGCCTGTGTGCAGCCCCCCCCTCCCCCCAGCCCCAAAAGGGAGGGGCCCTCCTTGGTCTCGAAGCCAACTAGGGGCCCCCCAAGAGCAGAAGACCCTCGCTTCAGCCCCCCAGAAAGGGGAGGGGAGGGTTTTGCTTCAGGCTTTTGGCCAGGTGGGGGCAGCACTGAGCGTGGGAAAGGGCATTCGGTGGCCAGGAGGGCAGCGTGGGCATCTTCTCTGCCCGGCTGTGTCCCTGCCACGAACACCTGGCCAGGTCCCAGGGGCAACCTGGGGCATCTCTGATGGGAGTTGGTGGGCTGCTCTGATGGGCAAGGATGAGGCTAAATGAGCCCCCCCCAAGAAGGTGGGGAACGATGAAAACTAGGGGACCAAGGAGAGCTGTTCATCAGCCCCCCCCCCACTGCCAAAAAACAGGGGCAGCTCTCCACCCCCCCCCTTATAAAACCCCCCACTTCCCTCCAAGGAGTTTTATTCACATTTATTTAGATGAACATCAACCCTGGAAAGGAGAATGAACGAATTTTACNGAAGGAAGGAAGGAAGGAAGGAAGGGGGAGGAGGAGGAAGAGGACCACCAATGATACTGCCTGCCTCTTTTCACCACCTGTGACCCCCCCCCCTCCTGTCAGCCTCACCCTTCTGACTCAGAGGCTCCTTGCCAGTGTCCCAAAAAGGCCCTGGGGAAGCCGGGAATGGATCCGTGAGTCAGCCGGGGTGGGGAATGGGGGGGGGGGGGGGGAAGGAGGCTGGCATTCCAGGCCGTCTCCCTCTCATGCCTGGTCCTGTGTAATTTGGCCCCACCTGGCTGGACTGGGTGTGTGTGTGTCTATGCGCAGGCGCCCAGCGGTGCCAGCCTCCCTCCTGGCCACCAGTTAAACATTAGCCGAGCAGCCACCGGTGGGGGGAGGCTTCCGCTTCCCACAACAGAACCACCAGGCCCCCTTCCCCCTTGGACTACAGCTCCCATCACCCCCCAGGAGAAAAAATTCAAACCCTCCATTTTTTTAAAAAAAAGAGAGTGACAAGACAGGTGAGAAGATCTCAGGATCCCTCTTGATTTTTGGAGGCCCCAAAGGATTGCAGGCCACGCGGAAAGCCCCCCCCCCCCCACCGCTGCACAGAGACAGGGAAGCACTCTGCACATGCTTGTGGTCCCTGCTATTTATTTGCCCCCATTCCAGAACTGACAGCAAGCAAGGGCTTCGCTCCTGGGGAGGGGGGTTGGGGGGGGCAAGAGAGGGGAGATTCTTATCCTAGAGAGGGGAGGGCCCCTCCCCTCCCCCTCCCCCCCCAGGCCATTCCCTTTCCTGCAACCTTTGCTCTCCTTCCCCTGAATGATAAAACCAGAATATTCAAGCTTCTCCTGAAGGGCAAGAGATTCAGGCCTGGAGGGAGGGAGCCAAGAGGGAAGAGGAGCACCCTGACCCATGAGTCTGGGACTGCCGATCCCATCAGCCTCGGCCAGCATAATCGGTGCCCAAGGATCCCGGGAAAGTTGCCCCAAATGTTTGACGTTTGGGAGAGCCGGTGGGTCTGTTCTCCAAGTGGTGGAGATAAAAGCTTTCCTTGGCTGCAGCCTGTGTGTGTTTGTGGGTCTCTGTGTGCATTTGTGGGTTTGTGGGATCTCAGCCTGGGTGCTCCCCTGAAAACCGCAGCCCCACTGGTGGGTTTGTGCGACCACTGGGGGTTCCCCGGTTTCCCTCTGCTTGTGTTGCCGGACTGAGCAGAAACTCAAGGGAGGCTCTTTGCAAAGCCCCCTCCCCCCAGATCCTCTGTCTGGCGACCCCCGTCCCCCACCCCGCACGGCCCCACCTCCGCCCCCTGAACGGAAAGGCCTCCGGGGCTCTTTCGTCTCCCACGCAAACCCCGCAGAAACCAGGACAAGCGGCTGATCGAAAGTGCCCTCCCGGCTGAGCGAGTCCCCCTTTGGACGGGGTTCTAGTCCTGGGCAGGGGGTGGGCTGGATGGCCTCGAGGGTCCCTTGGAGCCCACAGAGAGCCGTGTGGGCGGGGGGAAGGGGGACCTTCTTCGGGTCATCCTTGGATAAGAATTTAAGCAGAATAAAGAGACTTTTCTCTTCGCCAAACCGGCCAAGCAGGAAGCGAAGCGAGGCACCGGGAGGGCGATGCGGGGGCCCCTCCGCCAAAGGCCCCCCCAGCCAGACGCGGGAAGCCCGGATCGGCCGCGGGTCTCTCCTTCCCCCCGAGGGGGGGGGGCTGGAGGGGGCGATCCGCCCAAGGGGAAGGAGGAGGAGGGTCCCCGAAGCCCCCCGGCGGGCAGACTCACCATGGTGCCGGCTGGCTGCGCTCCTCGCCCGCCGCAGCTCCGGTTCCTCGCCGCGGCTCGGCAGGTGGAGGCCGGTGTGTATGTGGGGGGGACTTCAAGGGTCCAGCATCGCCCCCGCCGCGACCCTCTGCTCGGACGCCCCTGCCCGGCTGGGAGGGAGAAGGGAGGGAGAAAGCGGCTCCCCGGAGCAGCAGACCAAGCGCGCCGTCGGCGGGCTCTCCTGCCTTCCTTCCCCGCCGCGGCCGGACAGGCTCCGACAGGTAGGCGCTCCGGCTGGAGAGTTTCGGGCTGGGGCGGGCGCGGGCGGAGGGGGGCTGGCGGGCGCCCCCTGGCGGACAGGGAAGCCACGCGCGGGCAGCCGCCGGCCCCAGCTACGCGCGCGCGCGCCCCCTGCTGGACCAGAGTGGAACGTTTTTTTTCCCCCACCCCACCAAAAAAACCCCGACGTGAGACGATGGGGGGGGGGGGGATGTCGGTTTACATCCAGACACGTGGACGGGCTTGAGTGGCCCTTCAGACAAACCCTCTGCACGCGCTCCTAAGGGCAGCCTTGGCGCCATCTGACTTGCGGGGAATGTGAGGAGCCTCCCCCAAACCACCCTGTGGCCTAGTAAATCATAGGTGCTGAGGAAGGAAGGAAGATGATGAAGAGAAGGAAGAAGGGAAGATGATGAAAAGAAAGAAGAGAAGGAAGAAGGGAAGATGATGAAAAGAAAGAAGAGAAGGAAGAAGGGAAGATGATGAAAAGAAAGAAGA